CCCCCCCCAAAACCATGGTTAGTGGGGTAGGGATCTTTTACCACGGCGCGATACACACCATCCTACACCACAGGGCAACAGGGCGGGATGCGCGGTCAATTCTCTGTGGTGGCTTGAAGGTTGACTCACTGGCAACAATGAAACAAGATTTGCATTATCATACCAATGATCATAATGTTGGTTTGTAATAGTGAATACAGTAAATAGATCGAACACTGAACACCGAGCTTTCTACTTACTGTAGTAGGGCCGCATGGGTGCCGCTGGTGATGTCTGTCAACAGTGTCACACAAGTTCAAATCGCCAAACTCCAAGGCTAGAACTGACTCATCTTTGTCAGCCCCAAAAGCGCTGTGGCTGAATGCCCTGAAAAGGCGTCGACAGAATGGCCAAACTACCGACGTCAGATGCATGGTGTCCTGCTGTATGCGCTGCGAGGACTTGGCGTCTTGGAGGACATACCAGCTTCCTCATCCATCCTTGGTATGCCCCGAGATGCAGTGAGCATTTTTTTACGCACCGTACTCTTGACTGGAACATATAAGGCAGCTTGGCTATACAGTACCTTGTATTACATATGAGAACAAAGTAGGGGCACATTCCTGCCATGTCCTGAAAAGATGATACGTTTGAATCTTGAAACACAAATGCATTTGCGTTGACTCATGAAGCACTTTGTACCAAACTAAGTCAATCACCAGTCTGGAGGCCCGTCATAGAACCCGCCTGGAGCAGCAGAAGCAACCCCTCTTCCAAGCTTCCTGCGGACAATTGGCATTGCGAAGTTGCCAAGAAGGTCACATTGTTGTGGGAAAATGCTCACCCTTCTAATTTATCACTCATCCCTCCATGCCCTTTGTGGTGGTTTCAACCAGGTGGTTGGTCCCAGAATGACATCTGCATCTGTTGGATTTTCTCGTGCTGCAAAAATTGGAAAACTGTTTAGAGAAGATACAACATCTGAAAAGAATCGGGAAAACATGTTGAAAAACATGTTTGAAGTTGAACATTGCAAAAGCTGCTAGATAGCATGACTGTGAGGAGGGGATGAAAGCACCCGGTCAGCTACCTTTGATAATGTCCACCATGCTGGTCCTTACGCGACATCTCAACCCACGTTGGAGTGGCAAATCCATGCACAGTAAGTTGTATTATATACTCAATATATGCAACATCGACAGGTCTAAAAAATTACATGAACTTAAAAACGTAGACAGCATCAGTGGAAAGGACCTGTTTGCTTGCACTGGTACAAGTATCTGCAGGGGCAAGCAAAGTTTCAGACTTATGGTACTGTAAACAATAATAGACTGAAAGATCAATAACAACATGTAATAGCCAAAGATTGCAAAATGCGATGCTTTCAATAAACCGATAAATGATGATACATGATGCATCTGTTGATGCAGGATCCACAGTGGCTTTGCGTCGCCCTTGGTTTCATCTATAATGCGAATGGATCCATGGTGCACGGTGTACGGAATGCCTACCTGCTCACAAAACTGCCAGATTTAGGAGGAGATCTTGAAAGTTCAAGGGACGCACGACGCACGTGCTCAAAAGTTGCGCCCAGGGTGCCAAAGGAATTCAGTGCGTCGATCATCTCCCACGATGGAGACCAAACACAAAACTTAAACATATCTAAACATCTCTGAACCTTCGAGACATGTTACATGATATTACATGATGTTACATGGTGGGAAAAAAGGTTCATTATGCCTACCCAGTGACTGGCCACTGTCGCAGTAACTCAAGGTCCGGCGTCAATGCATACACTGCCTCTCTTTGACGCGCATTCTCGGGCGTTTGTCCTGTCAAAAACTGTCTTTTCTGGTTCGTCTGGATGGATCCTGCACACTGGTGGCAAAAGTCACTGGTGTTGTTCACAACAATTGCTCTCCTGTCGGATCTGTGGCCAGTCGACGCTCCATAAGTTTGGGCCTCCAATAGCATCAGGTGATCCAGCCAACGACCAACATAGAATGCGAGAACCCTCTGTATACATCGGTTTTGCTGAGAGCTGCGCTTGTCCATGGTTAGGATGGGTATTGTGAGCACTCCGCTCGCTCCGCTTCTGCTTTAATTTCCTGAGAAGCTGCGCTTCAGGGAGGGAGCGAGGGAGCGGGATCTGCTGGAGCCGTTTTTCAGCTCTGCTGTTGCGACTTTTTGGAGTCTTCTTTCTGTCAAAGCTATCGGTCTGCACTGTTTGTCCCTCTCTCATTGACTGTAGGGCTGCGAACCTGATGAAACAAAGAAAAGCAGCCAAGTAATATAATACCTTTGTGTCTTGGGTGGAAAAACGTCCTGGCTGTGTGAGCCATGCAGTTCTTGTTCCCCGCCTGTCAGGTGAGGGTTGTTACTGTTAGGTTTTATGTCAGCCCCATCTCCTCCTCCTTCTCCTCCTTCTTCTCCTTCTCCTCTGCCGGACCTCAACCACGACCATCCACGCCCAGTGTTCCCTGTCGGACCTCAACCACGACCATCCACGCCCAGTGTTCCCTGCCGGACCTCAA